GGCAGTTCTGGAATGCAGGGAAGCTGGATGCCATGCTCAGCTGCTGAGCCGGCTCCCCTGGGCTGTCAGCTGTGCTCACAGGACAGTAGGAGGTTGTCCCATGAATCACCCACTACACACAGGTCAATGAGGTCACCTTGGGACGGAGCTGAGCTGGGGCCTGCCTTACACTTCTGGCAGCTCTGTCATGTCCCCCGAGATCTGCCCACAGCAAAGAGGTAGGAAACGCCCTGAGGTTCATCCATCCTGTACCAGGTACACACACAACCAGATGCTGTAGGAGGTACAGAGAGGGAAACTAAGGCTCAGGGAGGGAAGTACCTGAACTTGGGAGTAGGAGGCAAACAAGGTAGTGAAGTTTTTTTGGGGCACCTACTATGTGCCAGGCATTTAAACCTTTTTTTTTTTTTTTTTTTTGAGACGGAGTCTTGCTCTGTCGCCCAGGCTGGAGTGCAGTGGCCGGATCTTGGCTCACTGCAGGCTCCGCCTCCCAGGTTCACGCCATTCTCCTGCCTCAGCCTCCTGAGTAGCTGGGACTACAGGCGCCTGTCACCACGCCCAGCTAATTTTTTGTGTTTTTAGTAGAGACGGAGTTTCACCGTGTTAGCCAGGATGGTCTCGATCTCCTGACCTCGTGATCCACCTGCCTTGGCCTCCCAAAGTGCTGGGATTACAGGTTCGAGCTACTGTGCCCAGCCACGTTTAAACCTTTAAGTGGCAGGAAACATCACCTAGTCCAGTGGGGCTTGTTTAAATACAGATTCTAGGTCCCACTCCTGGAGTTTCTGATTCAGGCCCGGGATAGGGTCTGAGAATTTGCATTTCTAAAAGGTTTCCAGGCCGGCACGGTGGCTCACGCCTGTAATCCCAGCACTTTGGGAGGCCAAGGCAGGTGGATCACAAGGTCAGCAGATCGAGACCATCCTGGCTAACACAGTGAAACCCTGTCTCTACTAAAAATACAAAAACATTAGCCGGGCGTGGTGGCGGGCGCCTGTAGTCCCAGCTACTCGGGAGGCAGAGGCAGGAGAATGGCGCGAACCCAGGAGGCGGAGCTTGCAGTGAGCAGAGACCGTGCCACTGCACTCCAGCCTGGGCGACAGAGCGAGACTCCGTCTCAAAAAATAAAAAAATAAAAATAAAAGGTTTCCAGGGGGATGTTGTAGCAACTGGTCCAGGGACTATATTTTGAAAATATCTAGTTCAACCTCCTTTCCTCTGCTTAATGGTGGTGCTTAATTTTCTTTTTACATACCACCAGAGAGAGAGAACTCACTGTCTATTCAGTCAACCTAGTTCATGTCTAGATAGATCTTACTTTGAAGATATGAGTGTGTGTGCTTATGCTGAACTGAACACTCACTCTGTAGGCTCTCCCCTGTGGCCTCTGGACCACAATGGTCTCATTAGAAAGGAGCAACTGGAGAAGAGAGACTTACAATTAGACCTGGGGTCCCCTTCACCCTCACAGTACTCCAGCCTCCAAACCCTGCCAGTTCTACCTCTGAATCACCGCCATCCAATATAGAAGTTCTGTAGCTACTGAAAACTTAAAATTTTTTTTAAATTTTCAGTATGTTAAAAAATAGCAAAATGAAGCAGGTGAAACCAATTTTAATATATCCAGACCAGGTGCAGTGGCTCATACCTATAATCCCAGCACTTTGGGAGCCCAAGGCTGGAGAATCACTTGAGCCCAGAAGTTCAAGACCAACCTGGGCAACACAGCAGACCCTTTCTCTACAAAAAAAATGTAAAAAAATAAAAGTTAGCCAGGCATGGTGGTTCACACCTGTAGTCTCAGCTACTTGGGAGGCTGAGGTAGGAGGATGACTTGAGCCCATTTCAAGGGTACCATGAGCTATGATTGTACCACTGTACTCTAGCCTGGGCAACAGAACAAGATCCTGTCTCTACAAAATAATAATAATAATATATCCAAATATCATTTTAACAGATAATACAACTTTTTTTTTAAATATATATATTTTTTGAGATGGAGTCTCGCTCTGTCGCCCAGGCTGGAGTGCAGTGACCGGATCTCAGCTCACTGCAAGCTCCACCTCCTGGATTTACGCCATTCTCCTGCCTCAGCCTCCTGAGTAGCTGGGACTACAGGCGCCCGTCACCTCGCCCGGCTAGTTTTTGTATTTTTTAGTAGAGACGGGTTTTCACCGTGTTAGCCAGGATGGTCTCGATCTCCTGACCTCGTGATCCGCCCGTCTCGGCCTCCCAAAGTGCTGGGATTACAGGCTTGAGCCACCGCGCCCGGCCAATACAAAAATTTTTAATGAGCTATTATACATATATGTGTATGTGTGTATATATACACATATATTTTTCATACCAAGTCTTTAAATCTAGTGTTGTTTTACACTCACAGCACATCTCAATCCTGTCCAACCATGTGTCAAGGGCTCCATAACCACATGTGGTTGGTGGCTACTGTTTTGGACAGCGGAGCTGTAAACTTCCCATGACCCTGTCCCTAGTCCCCATCTCCTCTGCATGGCTCATGCTCACCCACATGCTGGATCCTCACAGCTTCTCCACCAGTCCACAGTGCAGCTGCCAAATCCTTAACTTTTTTTTCTTTTTTTTTTTTTGAGATGAGATCTCACTCTGTTGTCCTGGCTGGAGTGCAATGGTGTGATCTCTGCTCACTGAAACCTCCACCTCCCAGGCTCAAGTGATCCTCCAACCTCAGCCTCCCGAGTAGCTGGGACCACAAGCATGCACCACCACACCTGGCTAATCTTTTGTATTTTCAGTAGAGACGGAGTTTCACCATGTTGGCCAGATGGTCTTGAACTCCTCCTGGACTCAAGTGATTCACCTGCCTTGGCCTCCCAAAGTGCTGGGATTATAGGCGTGAGCCGTGGCACCCAGGCAAAATTCTTATCTTAAACACAGGTTTGGTCATGTCCCTCTCAGATGGCACCCCATCCCTCTCTGGATGTCTGGCTGCTGAGGCCCTGCCTCTCTTGCTTCCTCCTCTCCCCTCTCCATCCCTAAGGCCCCCACTCTCTGGCTGTGCAGAATTATTCACAGATCCTCAACACAATAGTGCTCCTCACCTCTAAGCCCTCACACACATGGCTCCCTCTGCATGGAATGTCCTTGGAACACTTCTTGGGCTAACCTTTCAGGTCACTCATTCATTCAACAAATATATTGAGGGCCAGATGCAGTGGCTTATGCCTGTAATCCAGAGTCTTAGGGGGCCAAGGCCGGAGGATCGCTTGAGGCTAGGAGTTCAAGACCAGCCTAACATAGCAAGATCTTGTTTCTACAAAAACTATAAAAATCAGCTAGGTGTGGGGGTGCATGCCTATAGTCCCATCTACTCAGCAGGCTGAGGTGAGAGGATGGCTTGAGCCCAGAAGTTTGAGGGTGCAATGAGCGATGATCATGCCACTGCACACCAGCCTGGGCAACAGAGTGAGACCCTGACTCAAAAAAAAAAAAAAAAAAAAATTAGACTGGGCGCGGTGGCTCACGCTTGTAATCGCAGCACTTTGGGAGGCCGAGGTGGGTGGATCATGAGGTCAGGAGATCGAAACCATCCTGGCAAACATGGTGAAACCCCGTCTCTACTAAAAATACAAAAAAATTAGCCGGGCGTGGTGGCGGGTGCCTGTAGTCCCAGCTACTCGGGAGGCTGAGGCAGGAGAATGACTTGAACCCGGGAGGTGGAGCTTGCAGTGAGCGGAGATCACGCTACTGCACTTCAGCCTGGGTGACAGAGCGAGACTCTGTCTTAAAGAAAAAAAAAAAAAAAAATTAGTGAGCACCTACTATGTGTCAGACATGATCCTAGGCCCTGCAGCAAAGCAATACATAAAGAGGAAATAGGCATAACAAGAAAATACACAGTACAGCAGATGGTGAGCAGTGACGCAGGCAGATGGTGCGGGGTTACTACTTTAAGCAGGATGGTCAGAGAAGGCTTCATGGAGAAGGTGACTTTTGAGTAGACAGCTGAAGTGAAGGAGGGGCCAGGTGGCTTTCTAGGGGCAGAGCACTCCAGGCAGAGGGAACAGCCAGGGAAAAGGCCCTGAGGAGGGAGCCTACCCAGGGGAACTGGGACATGTTCCAGTGTTACTGGATCAGAATGAGGGAGGAAGTCATGGGAACCAAGGCCAGAGAGGGCCAGAGGTGTGGGGCAGATCTCGCAGGAGCCTGTAAGACCTTGGGTTTTACCCTGAGTGCAGTGGGAGTGTGGCAGCTGCTGAGCGGGGAGGGGCGTGAGCTGCCTTGGGTTTGAACAGGACCCCGTGGCTGCCTGGCTGATGAGAGTAGTCAGGGGTGAGGGCGGGAGCTGGGAGCCCAGTGATGACGCTGGCTGGATCAAGGTGACAGGTGAGGAGTGGAGAGAAGAGGCTGAATTCAGGCTATACTGAAGGCAGGACCAACAGGATTTTCCAGATGGGTGAGATACAGAGTGTTAGAAAGCCAAGTGTCAAGTATGACTCCAAGATTTGAGGCCTGAGCTTAGGGTATGGATGACCCCTCTTCAGGAAGTCCTCCTGGGGAGCCCACAGCTCGCCAGACCTTGCCTGTTTCCCTCCGAGGCTGGGGGCTCCCGTGGTGGGACTTGTTTCCTGTCCTGCTGCCACAGTGCTGGATAAGTGAGAGGGGATAGGCGGAGGAGGCAGGCTGAGCTGGGGCCCTGCCCTCGGCTGTGTGAGGTGTGACACTGCTCCTCTCACCTCTCTAGGGACCTGTGTTTTCCCACTTGCACAAGGCGAGCGGGTGCCCTCCAAAAGTTCCTCTAGCTGTAACCCAGTTTCCTCCCTAGGAGCGGGCACTGCCAGCTTCCTGAGCCCCCAGGCCTTCTCTCCTACTCCCTGCCCAACCTCAGCCTCGTGGGAACATCGGAGTATCTTCCTTCCCCTCTGGGACGCACAGGGCAGGTTGGGACACGTGGCTGGGGCCTGAGTCAGCCTCACCAATGTGGGTGGAGGGGGTACCTGAGACACGTCCCCTCCTCCCTTCCCAGAGCTTGGTACAGCCAAGGGTGGCACAGCTGCCCCCATTTCACTGGCTCCTGGAGTCCAAGGGCATGGCTGTGGCCCTGAGGCGAGGCCAGGCATGTAGCTGCCCCACCTGCCCCCCTGTAGTGCTGTAGGGAAGAGTCAAGTCAGACAGGAAGGCCTGGGGCAGATAGCACCAGCAGGAAGGAATGCCATCCCAGTGAGCGAGTGGGGCCCAGGGGCAACGTCACGGTAGTCCCGCCCTCCTTGCTATCACAGGTGCAGCCTGTCCTGTCCTTCCCCTGACCAACCCAGCATCCACACAGTCTACACAGTGTTCCTCTTGCTGCCCAGACAAGCTAAAGGACCACAGGTAATGGGACATGGGGCTGGGTGAGCAGTGGGGTGGAGGGTCAGCTTTTAAGGAAATTGGGAGAAAGAGTGTCCTCAATAGGCTTGATATTGTGTGGTTCCTTGGTGGACGTGGGTTTGAGTCCCAGCTCTGCATCTTCCTAGCTGGGTGAGAACTTGTCTCTACCTCAGGGGAGGATGACAAATATTCACCTCTCTGGGTTATATTGAGGCTTCCACCTGCCTATACTTGGCCGTGGTAGGTGACCAGCTCCCAATTCTGTCACCAACTTGCTGCAAGACTTTCAGAAAAACCCTTGACCTCTCTGAGCCTCAGTTTCCCTACTTGTGAAATGAAGGGTCCAACTAGATCTCTGAAGGCCCCTCACACCCTCGCTGTTATGGAACCTAACAGCTTAGGAGGGGAGGGGCATTCCCGCAAATGTCTCAGCCTCTGCGCCACCATCAGTGACTGCAGGCAGCCGCCCCTCTCTCTGCCCCTCCTGGAGGAAGCCACCCTGAGCTGCCAGCCAGGTTTGGGAGACTTGGGAGGAAGAAGCCAGCTGTCCCCCTGCTTCCAGCTCAAAGGCATCCCAGGGAGTATGTGCCAAACAGAAAGCTGGGCCATGGGGAGGGGGCCCTGCTGCCTGTCAGAGCCTCAGGCGCAGGTGATGTGGCCCAAGGGGAGGGGGGCTTGGCAGACCTCTCAGAGCTCCCCCCACCCATCCCCCTAGGCTGTCATCCTCGTCCTAGAGCTGCCTCTGCTCAAAACACTCTGGTTTTCAGGCCTCAAGCCAACCTAGTTTCCATTTAAGGGGGATGAGAATGATTATGGTCTTGTGCTTATTATTTTCTTCTGTTTTGTTAAGAAACTGCCCAGAAGAGTTCAGAGCCCTGACTAATGAGTCGGGAGTGTGTGTTAGGGGGAGTGGTGGGGAGTGAACTCAGGCTAGTGTAGCCCTACAGCACCAGGTTACTTGTGCTGGGAAATCCTCCTTGTGAAAAGGATCAGAGAGCGAGATCTCAAGTGCTGGCTGCACGCCAATGACCATGCTGGGCCTGCCCTGCTCCCCGCCTTATTTCACTTTCACAACAACCCTGTGGGTGGAGTCTTTCCTTTTTCTTTTTGTTTCTTCTTTTTTTTTTTTTTTAAATAACAGATTTACTGAGATGTAATTCATTACTATAAAATTCACCCTTTAAAAGTGTATAATTCAGGGCCAGGCGGCGTGGTTCACCTGTGTAATCCCAGTACTTTGGGAGGCTGAGGCGGGCAGATCACTTGAGGTCAGGAGTTCGAGACCAACCTGGCCAACATGGCAAAACCCCATCTCTACTAAAAATACAAAAATTAGCCAGGCATGGTGCGCACCTGTAATTCCAGCTACTCAAGAGGCTGAGGTGTGAGAATCACTTGAACCCAGGAGGCAGAGGTTGCAGTGAGCCAAGATTGCACCACTGTGCTCCAGCCTGGGTGAGAGGGAGACTCTATCTCAAAATAAATAGATAGATAGATAGATAGATAGATAGATAGATAGATAGATAAAAATGAAGTGTACAATTCAGTGTTTTTGTGCATTCACAGAGTTGTGCAGCCAGTGCCACTATCTAATTTTTTTTTTATCATCTCCAAGGTGAACCCTGTACCATTTAGCCGTCACTCCCCACTTCCCCTTCCCTCTGGCAACAACAAACCTACTTTCCATCTCTATGGATTTGTGTATTCTGGACATTTCATCTGAATGGAATCATATGGTGTGTGGTCCTTTCCGAGTGGCTTCTTTCGCTTAGCCCAATGTCGTCAAGGCTCATCCGCATTGCAGTGGGTGTCCATCCTTCCTTCCTCGCACTGGTTGAATGAGGTTGCATTGTATGATGATCTCAAACTTTGTGTCTCCATTTACCAGGGGATGGACATTTGGGTTGTTTCCATTTTTGGCTGTTATGTGTAATGCTGCTATAAACATTCATTACAAGTCTTTGTTCGGATATAGGTTTTCAATTCTCTCACGAATATACCAGGGATTGGAATTGCTGGGTCATGTAGTAAATCTTTTTTAACTTTTGAGGAGCTGCCAGACTGTTTTCCAAAGTGACCTCCATTTTACAATCTGACCAGCAATGTATGAGGGCTCCGGTTTCTTCGCACCATCACCAATACTTGTTACTGTCTGTATGTCTCATCGTAAGCCACCCTAGTGGGTGTAAAGGGGTATCTCATGGTGGTTTTGATTTGCACTTCCCTAATGACTAATGATGTGGAGCATCCTCTTTTTTTTTTTTTTTTTTTTTTGAGATGGAGTTTCACTCTTGTTGCCCAGGCTGGAGTGCAATGATACGATCTCAGCTCATTGCAACCTTTGCCTCCCAGGTTCAAGTGATTCTCCTGCCTCAGCCTCCCGAGTAGCTGGGATTACATGAACCCGCCACCATGCTTGGCTAATTTGGTATTTTTAGAAGAGACGGGGTTACTCCATGTTGGTCCGGCTGGTTTCGAACTCCCGACCTCAGGTGATCTGCCCGCCTTGGCCTCCCAAATTGCTGGGATTACAGGCGTGAGCCACCGTACCCAGCGATGTGGAGCATCTTTCTATGTGCTATTGACTATTTCTGCGTCTTGTTTCGAGCAATGTCTATTCGAGTCCCCTGTCCATTTTTAAACTGGATTATTTGTCACTGTCTGTTGAGTTGTAGGCATGCCCATTTTTCCAGCTAAGGATTCTGAAGCTCTGAGAATGGATGTGACACGCTCTAGGTCGCAGAGTCAGTGAGGGGTCGAACTGAATATCTAGGTCTGTCTGATGTTTGAGAGAACTGACAAGCTCTTGTACTGGATGCCACCTTTCTGTTTCTTATTGTCAGTTGTGTGTGTGTGTGTGTGTGTGTGTGTATGTGTGTGGTGTGTGTTGTGAGAGAGAGTGAGTGTGTGTGTGTGTGTGTGAGTGAGAGAGAGGGAGAGAGAAAGAGAGAGAGAAAGAGAGGTGGGTAGAAACCGAGAGAGAAAGATGGGAAAGAGAGAGAAACAGAGACTGAGATTCCAGGGACCCGCCTGGCTCTGTCTAGCGGGGCACCCACCTTGGTGCCTTGGTGTTTGACTCAACACTACACCAAGTTAGGACGATCAGAGCCAGAGAAAGCCTTTAATGAGTTTTAGGTTTCTTCCTATTAATCTTCAAATGTGTCAGTGGAGCCTCAAAAATGTTTTGTGGAGTGCATACTCCCCTTCTAGTTTTCCTTGTCCCTAAATCTGAAACAAATTATCCGATTAGACCCAAAAACCCCAAACCAGGACTAGCATCCCCTAGTGTCTAGCTAGGTCTAAGGATCTAGAGCAGCACTCATCTAACTTTTTGATTGCACAATCTTCTCAAGAAGAATGCTCTGGGCACCCCCAGCATATACATATGCATAGATATATACATGTATATACAAGTATAGTGGCCATTAGCTGATGTCTCAGGACCAGTGTACGTTCACAGTGAATTTCATCACCAGTGATAGTGGATGGAAATCCACCTTTCAAATCGTTTCTCATTATTATTTCAGGAACTCAAATACAACTGTATTTGAGTTTGAGTTTGTATTTGTTTCTCTTTATTATTTTGTATTTTGAGTTTGTATTTGTTTCTCATTTTTTCAGGAACTCAAATACACAGGAAAGAATTGTTTTGTGTGTGAGATTCCTTTCCATTGCTCTTTCCAACGTGGTAATGTGGCTAAACTAAGAGCAAGGACAAGTCTGTCCCACACTTTTCCTGTTGCTTGTTTGTACTTTCATGATTAGGGTTATCTCCATCCGCAGTTTCTTTGCAGACTCTTTGAAGTCACTTGTCAACAATAAGGGGGCTGATTCAGTGAAAGCTATTTCATTTGAGCCTCAAATTAACCCAACTGGGCTCCTGCACACCACAATATATGGCAATAGTCTGAATGTAGAGAAAAGGAAGACGTGGTCACAGTCAACCTGTCTGCCTTGTGGGGCTCCCCACTGGCCTCTGGGAGCCCCACTTAATGGACATGACGTGTAGTATCTGACATATGATCCAAGGGTGCACATCAGGGCTAACCTATATACTATTAACTATTTTTTAGTTAAAAATTACATAGAAATCGATAAATTAATATTTTCCTCCTGTACTTTGGAGAGAATTGCTTGAGAGACTAATAGGTTCTGAGCTAAGAACATCTAAGCCAACCCCTGCCACTCCTCAACTTGCCACCTCACATGGCAGCGTGCTCAGGACAACCCCAAAGTTGTTGTCATTTTTAGAATATTATTTTATATATTGAGGCCAGGTGCAGTGGCTCAGCACAACACTTTGGAAGGCCAATCCCAACACTTTGGGAGGCCGAGGCAGGAGAATTGCCCAGGGTCAACAGTTCAAGGCTGCAGTGAGCCATGTTTGCTTCACTGCACTTGAGCCTAGGTGACACAGTGAGACCCTGTCTCTAGAAAAGAAGGAAGGAAGGAAGGAAGGAAGGAAGGAAGGAAGGAAGGGGAAAGGAAAGGGGAAGGAAGGAGAGAGAGGAAGGAAGAGAAAA